ACTTTGGTTAGTATTTTGTTCGGTTTCTTTCATTATTATTTTTTATGAATAAGTTTTTGTAGCTAATATTTTTAGCTAAATATAGCACAAGGGCATTTTTTTAAAATTTTAAAAATTATTCTGACGTGGATGGAAAAATTAATGAAACTATCAACAGAGTGATAGTGGGACAAATACAAGTTTAAATATGAGGTTTTTTGCTCAAATTCATCAAATTGGGGGCTGGGGAAGGGGGGATTCTATAGGTTGGGGTAAACTTCAAGGGGTTTCTGTAATTTTTTTAAAAAGCTGAACAGTCAGTTGTCTCAGGTAAGTGATGCATCATGTCAGTAAATATACACTCTAAATATTGCTAGAGTTATTTTATTTAATTTTCTTTCTCCTGTCGAGTGAATAGTTCTTTATAAAATTTTCCAAATCCATTCAATGGTTTAACAGATTGTTCGAGCCCCAGCATACTTATTTGCTGCTAACATTAGCGTGGAAGGATGTACAACCTCAACAATGTCGGGCCAGTTCTGCAACCAGACAGTTGCTCCACTTTCCTGTTCTCAATCTAGTAGCCACAATCTTCTTGAAAATATTTCAGATGCTAAAGTGGAAAATTCAACAATTGAAAATGTGATTTCTTGCAGAAACTCATTTGGGACTTCTTGTAGTAGGAATGGTGAGCCTAAGATCTATTCCTTAGATGTAGCTGGAATAGCAGAACAGCTAAAAATTAAGGGCACTGAGAATGCCACATTTTCAAATAAAAATCAGGATGCTGGTGAAAAGGGTTTGATGTGTTTCATTCGGCATGGTGCATTACCTTCATTAGCTCTTTATGATTACTCTGGGGATATACTTAAAGAACCATTGGTTATTAACTTACCAAAGGTTGGTCGATGGTATATTACAGTTGTACCTACAAATCTGTCGCTAGGACTTGGAGGTGTTCAAAATACTAGTATGCAGATCTGCTATTCTGTGGAATCCCAAGTCCTGGAATGTCCTGCAGAGAAAGCAGGCCCAAGTTGTACATGGGAAAGATACATCCTTCAGGTATGATTTTTGCTTACTCTGCATCTTTATCCACTTTTTTATTGTATTTCTAAGCTGTGAAATTATTATTTCATCATCCTTGCTCTCTTTTGTATAATTATTTAAAACACAGAAATTAACAAAACCATGAGGTTGACAGTTTTTTAAGATGTTCAAGGACAAAAATTTGCCATTTTGCTCTGAATCAGAATGAATCCAACCCTTTTCCTGTCACTTACCTGCCCCCGTTTCGTACTCTTCTTTGACCTAGATAAAAATGAGAAAATCTGATCATCATTTTAAAGGATAAATATACTCTCATCTGTATTATAATTTTTATCACCAACATTATATTTTTGCATTATTAAAATTTACAATCTAATGATTTAAAAGATTAGAACTCTATATTCTGGTGTCTTGTAAGATTATAAATAGCACATACGTGTAATGAATAAAATCAACCATTAAGAATTTTTCATAAACGGTTCACATTTAATTATGTGGACCAAGAAACATTGCCCTGCATATCGCACTATATGATGAGATTTTTGTCCTAGTTAATATCCAATATCATTTTCTTTATTTAAATTAATCTTAAAAGGCAACTTTTGTTGTCTCATCTCATTTTGTTGATTCTTGAAGAACCTTATCTGCAGGATATTTTATTGACAAGCTGAGAATGATTGTCTGCAGACAGTTATCAGGAAAGAGTCAACTCCCTTCGAATCATATTATTTGCCAGTCAGCGGAAAGGTGCCCTCAGGCTCAGCTAATTTTCCTCTCAAGCCCCTTTTTAGTAACTCTTCACTTGGTGGGGAAGCAGGTGATATTTGGACTTATTTTCTTATGGACATACCTCGAGGTGCAGCTGGAGGAAATATTCACATACAACTAATGTCAGATGCCAAGATAAATTATGAAGTATATGCTAGATTTGGTGGAATGCCATCCCTTGATAGCTGGGATTATTATTTCGCAAACAGGACAAACAGCAGTGCTGGCTCCACATTTTTCATGCTGTATAATTCAAGTGATGAAAAGATCGATTTTTATATCTTATACGCGAGAGAAGGAACTTGGAGCTTTGGATTAAGGCATCTCAATTCCACCAGCATTTCCAAAGATGAGACAGTCATGTCAGTTTCACTTGAGAGGTGCCCAAAAAGATGCTCCTCTCATGGGGAATGTAGATATGCTTTTGATGCTAGTGGGTTGACGTCATTCAGGTTCATTTATTTACCTCATTCTGGTCTGTTTTATCCTCTTGTTTGATTATAGAAAATAAAAAATCGGGTCAGTTTTATCAACTTAAGTTTTTAAAATAAATGGTCATCCAACCAATTTTTGACATGGCACCTGAATTGAATGCCTAGATGTAAACCATGAAAACCTTACTCCACAGATTGTCATTTATCTATTTGTTGCTCACAACTGCTCCTTCATGTAAAACTTGTCTGTTATTCACCTATTTTTTGTTCACAATTGAGCTTTAAGGTCGAGTTGGTTTAAATTTCAGTTATATGAAATAAGAATGAGAATATTATATGAATGATGGAGAAACTCGAGATAAAATAGTATTACAATTTTAAGTCAATTCTGTTTCCAATTCAATTAAAGTATTCTTGTGATTTCCTCTCTTACCATGTAGGAATACAAATCTATGGTTGTGGAATTGAAGATAATTCAATTATGTACAAAATATTTAAAATATAAAGTTTCATATATCAAATAATTGAAGTTTAGGAATTGGATGAGAAGGGATAAGGTTGAATCAAATCCGATGTAAATGTAAAACCTACTTGTTAATCTGGTTTTTGTGCTTCCATTTGGATTTCTGTTCACACTAAGCTCAGAAGCCTGCTTGCATGCAAGTAGTGTGCTAGTGAAAAGTAAATAAATAAAGTTGGGCCTGTACTTATCAGATTTGAATTTTTAGGTTAATTAATCAATCGGCCAATTATTTGACCACCTCTCTTTTTGTAAAAGAACTTTGTTTTGCATCTCCATTTTATTGTTTTCCGATTTGTAAGATGCCTAAATCATAGTTGGTATTATTCGGATGCTTACTGCAGAAGTTGAAACTGCATTTATGATTCAACTTTCCTCTCTTAGAACTTTTTATCTTTTCATTGCAGCTTTTGCTCCTGTGACAGAACCCATGGAGGCTTTGACTGTAGTATTGAAGTCGTATCACATCGAGGTGTGGTTTTATTTTGGACTATTTATGTATTGACATTGTTGGATTAGTTTTATAAATTGTCTTTCTTTTTTCCTTTTTTTTCTTAAAAAAATCAAGGTTATAGGGCACCAATTACTTCCTGGAATGCTTTTCAATGCATAACCTATGATGTTTTTTGCTTTATCAAGGGACTCGTTGCTTTCAGTTAGGAAATTCAAGTTAGATGTTGCTCGAGTTTTGTAAAATAATTTTTACCATGAAAATTCTCAAGGGAATTTTTCTTTCTCTCTTTATATATGTATATTTGGTATTTACGATATGCTTGTTTTGAAACGGGAGATTTGGAGAAATCATGCAGTTTTTGCTGATTGTTTTATTCAGTGGCAGTTCAAAATATTTTATACATGTAAACATCCAAGCACATAGAAGTAATGCATGTGTGTATATTACAAGTGCAATATAGTCTGTTTTATCTAATCAAACAGCTGTAAACTGGGGTAGGGCACATATGGCAATCTATTGCTCTCGTTGCATCAAATGCTGCTGCTCTGTTTCCTGCCTATTGGGCTCTTCGTCAAAAGGTAATGCTTTTATTAGCATCTTCAGTTAAATTGGTAATGGTTTTACACTTGTGGTTGTGGATGTAAAATCTTCAATTCAAACAGCGGAAATGCTCAATATGTTCCAGGTGTTACCATGTAACTTCATTGTGATATTAGTTTAGAATCTCGAGGAGATTGGTGGCACCACTATTAACCACAGAGTGTTAGTTCATGAATACATCCAGCACGAGCTCCACTATAAATAAGTGAAAATGAAATCTTTATGTTGTTTCATAGTTTTACAGTGTGAATGACGATTAGTTACTCTACTCAGGCATTTGCAGAATGGGTGATCTTCACATCTAGTGGAATTTCAAGTGGTTTATATCATGCATGTGATGTTGGCACCTGGTGTGCATTATCCTTTAATGTTTTACAGGTAGGAATCTATGTCCTTATGTTCCAAAATATTTTTTTCTCTCTTGCAGAACCACTTGATTTATATACATATAGCATTTCATGGTTCTGAATGCATTTATATTAAATATCCATCTATGAGTAACTCCTCTAGACATTATTAATTATCAACATGGAAATGCACAGTTCATGGACTTCTGGCTTTCTTTCATGGCTGTGGTGGGCACATTTGTCTACTTATCTACCGTTGATGAAGCTTTTAAACGGACAATTCACACCGTTGTTGCTATCATTACAGCTCTCATGGCCATTACCAAGGCAACCAGGTAGCCAGAACCCGTAGACACTTAAAGATCGTGGAAATTTAGGGCCCTGTTCTAATGATTACATTGAGAATTTGCATGTTCTACACATTTCAGGTCTTCCAATATCATTCTTGTTCTTGCAATTGGAGCACTAGGCCTTCTTGTGGGATTTCTCGTTGAGTTGTCTACTAAGTATAGGTCGTTTTCCTTTTCTGGTGGATTCTCTTTAAATATGCTTTCCAGGTACGTTTCCTTTCTCGTCTTCTAAGTGTACAATTTATGGACAAGACGTCTTGGATGGGCACAAATATATATATCTACTAAGTATACGTTTAATTTAGATGGCAAGCTGTTAGAGAGTGGCTTCGAAATTTGGTCAAGACACTTTTGAGGCAATTTCGATGGGGTTTTGTTTTAGCTGGTTCTACTGCACTGGCCATGGCAGCAATAAGCTGGAAACTGGAAACCAGTGAAAGTTATTGGATTTGGCACAGGTACATGTCATTACAAACTTCTTTCTCAGTCTCTTGTTCTCTGTCAATCACCCTATTCATGTTGTTCACTTTTTAAAACGGTTTGCAGTATTTGGCATGTCACGATATATATCTCTTCTTTCTTCTTCCTCTGCTCAAAAGCACCTGTTACAAATAGCGAGGATGAGAGAGCCGATGACCAAAGCTATGAGTTAACTCGGCAGGATTCGTTCTCAAGAACATGAACAGAGGGGCAGATTGAAAGAGAATGAATCTTCTGAGGGCTAAGCTCCAAGTAAGGGATGGAAAAAAAATTTAACTAGAGCAGCAATTCTGAGAAAACAAGAGGTACCAAGGGCTTCAACTCCAGCAGTATGTTCTAGATAGTTGCCCCCCACCAAAATTTTCCTGGAGTCTGCTTTATTTTTGCAGAAATAATGAAAAAGAAAGAAAATAGGCAGAAATAGTGTGAAAAAAAAAAACCCATACTTAATATTGATTAAAGAATTAAAGATGTGGGAACTTCTGTGGTACTTCAGAGGCATGATGCGTCCCCGGTAATTTTCTAACATATTATAGTGATTTAGTGACTGATCGGTATACAATACCAAGTGATTAATACACCATAATATTGAATTGTTATGAAATATTTACAAATGCGAGCCCTCGTAGGCATTGTAATTTAGGATGAGACATGGGTGTGTATATCGTGAATTATAGGGGCATTGTGGTTGATCTCAACATTTTTGGTGTCGTTTTAATTTAGTCTGGTAATTGGTAGCTCCTGCAAATGTGAATGATTTTTTTGTTGTTATTTACTCTTCTGCTGTGAATGTTCAGGGACTCTTGATCAAGCTTGTGCAAACTACGTCTCAATTCAACGTTTTGACATTTGTCATTTGACTATGCTTTTAAAGTTTTTTCTTTTCTTGAAAAGGAGTAAAAAATTTGGCCAAATGCCCAAGAGTAATTATTTGTAGTTGAAAAGTAGAGGTTAGTTCTGGCTTTGTGATAGATGGTAATATCAGAAATTGCGAATTGGTATTTTTCAAATGAGGTTTGTTCGTGAATAGATAAAAATTGTCTTCCGTAACACCTGTGAAGCTTTCCTCACTAAATCATTGATCACCCAATTACAACTTCTAAGATCCAAATGGAAGAAACCAAAGAAAATAGAACTGTAAAAAGTTCCTTACATCTTCAATCAAAAGTCTTAATTATCTATATCTGAATTACAAGAACTACTGCTTTAAAAGGGGCCCCTAAGCTATTTCATATACCTAAACAATTTCCGATAATAAAGGTTCCCAATTAAATTTCTCAAATCTCGGACAACTAAACAAGTATACAAAGAAGAAATTGGAAGGCACTTCATCAGCTATCTGCACAACAATTTTGTTTTGCTATAAATGAGCCAAGGTGAACAGAATTTCAATATACTCTTCCAACAACTCCTCTTCAAACCAATCTCTTCACATCCATTTTCAGAGCCAACTCCACCATTATTCCCTCTTGAATTCTCTCTATAATTTTTTATGAAAACTAGCAACCATTCTTTTCTTCCTAGTTATATTTTCGGCAAATGATGCAAGCATAACTATACCAGTTTATAACTTCTAAATCCTCGTGTTCAGCCACCCTGCCACTAGTTTCCTCTCACTCAACTGCTTTTCATAGAATGAGATGATAGTGATCGGATGTCTAAAGCTAATTGCTCCCTGTAGTCCTTGCGGATGCTCCATAGGATCTCGGCACACTTCCTCATGCTTGGTCTGGTTTGTCTGCGTGGAGCCAAACATCGCCAAGAGAGTTCATAAATCTTTTCAATGGCTAATCTATTACCAGCAGACTCTTCCAGCTTTGGGTCCAAGGTTGAAATAGCATTATCATCAGTGAACTTCTTCAACGCCTGCACTTTATAAAGACTGGGTCACAATAGGGCATCATTATCTTTTACTCACTTCTAACTTTGGGTCTGGAGAACTTATTATGACATAGAAGCAGTCAGATTAATAATTAGCATAACCTTTCCACCAGATAAATGGCTTGGTCATGTTAAATGGATTCTATATGGGTCATGCTCTGGTTGAGATATGCTTTGGTAATGGGAATTATAGAAGAATTTGCAGATGCAAATAACTGATTTAGGTAAGAGATAATGAGAAGAGGAAAGGAAAGATGTCACACCCATTTTGCCGTTATCCTCTCATTGAGTTCTCGTTTTGCTTCAATGGGACGTCTACCTGTAACCAGTTCAACGAGTAACACACCGAATGAATAAACATCACTCTTCTCAGTAAGTTGGTAGGTCCTCAGATATTCTGGGTCCAAGTAGCCAGCAGTTCCTTTAACTTGGGTGGATATATGGGTGGCATCAGACTCACTGTCAGCAGCCATTCTAGCAAAACCAAAGTCAGCAACCTTGGCTCGAAAATTTTCAGTTAAGAGGATGTTGGAAGACTTTATATCCCTGTGAATGATAGGGTGATCTACATAGAAACCGACCCATAATCCCATTAAACCTTAGGTGAAGGATGATCTTCTTAGAGAACCAAATGAAACCAAAATAAACAGATGAGATTGTAATAGAGACCTGTATACATATGGAGATAGGTGATTGCATGTGCCACATCAATTGCAATATCCAGTCGTGCTCCAAGGTCAAGAACGGTGCCATGTATACCTGCATTAAGGCTGCATCCTTCAGGTGCAAAAATCACATTTTATATGCATGCCAAGACATGCATAAACACATACATCAGCAGGGAGTCAAGAAGGGGAGAAGCCCAAGAGGGTCACACAGAGAATGGAATGAGAAGAGGAGCACATGAAGAGAACTCACAATCTAAGTGTTCTCTGAGGGTTCCATTGGGTACATACTCGGCAACAATAATTCTTTCATCTTCTTGCTGTAAAAAACCATAGAATTTGACTAAGTTCAAATGCTCTACCTGTGACAATGTGAGTACTTCACTTAGGAATTCCACGCCCAAATGCTTGTCATATATGGTCTGCATATAAAGATGACGAGGTATTTGGTTAAACCTAACAACTAATTAGGTTCAGTGACCAAAACATAAAACTTTTGGTCATCATAAAGAACTCTAATCCAACCTTCTTAGCTCTTTTGATGGCAACAACAGTTCCATCATCAAGTCTTCCCTTATAGACAGTCCCGAAACCACCTTGCCCGATCTTGCATGTGGGCGAAAAGTTCCTTGTGGCCTTGTGGATATCCCCCATGGTGAATTGTATACCCCCAGATTCTCTTTCATGGGTAGAATTGTATGAACTAGAATAAATTCCTCGTCTTTGTGCAGTATGCCTACTTTCCGATGTATCCGATAAACCTGAGAATGGATAGATTACTCTAAATCATTCAATTCATATAAGAAAAAAAATCAACTAAACTTAACTGCCAAGCAAATTATGAACATCTAAAATCACCATCCTTTATCATCAATCAAATTTGAAAACTGGCAACAAACAGCATTAAGTACTCGATTACCATTAACACCTGAAGTTCATGGCTCGAACTACAATGAAAGATTTTTCTTTTTTTTTTTTTTTTGAAAAAAAAAAGAAAGGAAAATCTTCCAAGCTACCATATGTAGACCTAATTGGTGAACAACCAAATGCGTGAAATAAACAGAGTTCTTTTCATAAATCACCTTCCCAAGCAACAAAATTAGGTTTCAGATAGAAGGAACAATCAAGAAACTTTGAAGAATTCAGTAACAACATATTTAGCAATAAATCAGAGCAGAGTAAAATCCATGCTTTAGCCATCACATCATAAAATCCAAAACATAATCTCGCTGCTAATTGGCCGCCAAGAAAACGCCAAGAAGCGAGAACCGACAAAAACAAAAGAACCTAATAATTTAATCAGATGATAATATTTTATTCATCAGACTGGTGTCTCCAAAGAAAACCTTTTAGTAAAATTAAACCAGTTTCTAACACTAAAAAATTCTCAATTTCCTCGATGCATTTTACTCCTCCAGCCACGAATCAGTTCCAACACCTAGCTGTAGTTTTCAACAAAATCAAGCAGTTTGTATAAATGTTAATAAAAAGAAGATTAGCCGTAGGGAGTAGCGAGAGGGAGAAGAAACGGCAGAGAGTTAGTAGCAGAAATTACCAGAAGGCTTGAAGTGATGAGAGGAGGGAGAAGAAGAGGAGACAGTTGGGGGAGTGAAGCAGTGGATGAAGGCCCCAGCGACGGATCGTGCAGCGGAACGGACGACGGAAGTGGATTTGCGGCTGGGAGTAGCAGAGCTCTCAGAGTAGTAGGAGGAGGAGGTCGGGGAGGGAAAGGAGTTGGAATACCTCTCCGGCGTGAACCTTCCCCCGGTGCTAGAGTTCCGACTTCTATACATCGAAGTTGATTCCGGCCTGGCTGCTTACAGGGCAGGGCAGGGCAGGGCAGGGCAGAGAGAAAGAGGCAGCGAAGGAATGGTTAAGCGTGAGACAGAGAAGTGAAGACTTTTGATTTTTCAGAAGATGGTTGGAGGCTAACTTGCGCAGATCATTTATTAAAAAGGGTGGTCCACGTAAGGCTCAATTGGAGGGAAATGCCAGCTGGACAGTATGAACTAATTAATATCATTTATTATTATTATATTTTATAGTTAATTTCTTGAATTTATTTTTTATTAAAAAAATGTTTGTTGACTTATGAATAATTTTTTTTTTTAAAAAAAAAGATGTTCGGGTGAGGGTATGTAAATGTTTGATTGGTTAAATGCTCTGTTCGTAGGGTTGGAAGTCAAATCTTATCCTTGTAATTTCAGCTGTAACTGACAGGTGTCAGTAGCCGGCACTGGCTATTTTTTTTAATATAATAAAACGTATATTTTTATTTAAATTGGAAAAATAACATGTTGAGTATTAGGTTCCATAGTAGTTTAAGTTATGGTTGTCTCCAACAGACACAGTAGTTGTCACGTCACTTGCAGTTGGAACCGAATTGCCACGTGTAAAGTGCGTTAGAGTTATTATACGAATATCTAACCAGGATTAAATTTTAGTTTTTTTTAAAAGATATTTCATGTAAGATCTAACCCCAGCAAACCTTTCAAACCAGATAGTTGAAAAAATATTTACCAGACTATACCACCAAGTAATTGAGTAGAAATTAAACAAAAAATCAACCATTCTCCAGCACAGCAATTTCGGTTCTTTTTCTTCCTTCTCTCTCCTGGTAAAAAAAAAACTTAAACCCTTACCAAACTGATAGACCATAAAACTCCTCATTCATGTGTAGTATTCCATATTTCTAACCACTCTTTGGAGAAAAAATTACATGTAAAAATCAAACTTACTATTAAATACTCATCAGATATCAAATTAACTACTCTGTAATATTGAAAATGCTATAGTCATGCTAAAACAATTCATATGCCGCCACCATTTTGGGGTAAGAACAAAAAATAAAAGAAATGAGATCATCCTGGTATATACATTTCTTGAGGGGTTAAAAGTTATATACTTTTAACAGTGAAGGCACACCCACTTTTCCTGTAAGTAAGAAAATGGTAGATGGGAGGCAGCATCATACACACACACACACATTTATACACACAAGTATATATAGAGATCAAAGATATAGTTGGAATTAATTGACAATAGCAATGCAGTCACACTGTGAAGAAATAAGTTGGAATAAAATAGTAATTTCAACAATGGTAATTTTCACATCTATTCTGAAACTAAGCAAGTAAAAGAAGTGATTTCTTGTCTTAACAAACAATCTATATATACATGGTACATAGAAAACCTAGCTGTTGATGGTTACATTTTTACAGATTCTAAAATTGAACTACCAAACACCCTATGTCAAGCACTTAATGTAGCATCCAAAAATAATTCCCTTCACCAGAAAAAAGCCAGTGGGAAGTTTTACCCTTTGATTAGAAGTCAATCAACCGTGTTTACCTGTTAGGATTGGAGACTGAACAGCACATCACATGAATCTTGAACTCCCTTTTTTTTTAATCATTTTTTCCTTTTTTTCTAAACAAATTTGATTCAGTAAACATTCTTATTTAAAAAAGAAGAGTAAAAATCATCAGCAGTAACTATTCTCATTAAGCTTATTTATAATATCTATGCTTCTTAGCTGTAAAAAATATTCAGCTTGTTGCTCAAAAAATAAGTTCTCACGATTCCCATGGTTTACTACACAGTATTCGCACTCTTATTTTATGGATAACAATTTGAACTAAATTTGTACTTAGTTAACCAAACAAAAGACAAACTCTCCATATGAAATTCTAAAAAATCAAACCTGGAACTTCTTGCTCTAAGTAATAACCACAGACCATCTCCATATTCCAGCCCAAGTAAACCTACTCAATCAGGAAAAAAGCCACCTAGTCCACCCAAAATCGAACAAGCCTAGTCTTGGTTCCAGAAGCACCCAGAAAGTGGTCATTTTGGTACAATTCTGCCGCCATGCAGTATAAATAACATATTTTGTCTAGAGGTCGAAAACCATTATGCATTGGAACCCAAAGAAAAGATTATTGAGAAAAATGTATTTGTAGACTCGGAAAATTTTGTAACCTAAAAATAAATATGCTACATATATACAAGTAACTTTCTCTTGTCAGGGGTACCTGATTCCTCGTGTCATTTTGTGTGTGAAGAAATTTAGAGTGTGTTGATCACATTTATGAAATCTTCCAGCTTACATGTACTTAAGGAGCACCTAATAATTTTTTTTACCATAGCCTTAAGCTTGGAACTCAATCTTGGAACATGCAAAATGCAAAGAACTTTAGAACAAATGTTCCAGATCAGACAAAGCTGTGATTGCAGAGACATGAGACCATTTATAAAAATGTTATAAACATTGGAACCTTTTGCCTCTCTTGTATTTGACCCGAGCAGCATGTATAATAAGGCATATATCCTCAAAGAAGGGAATTATAATTTGATATATACATTCAATTATTACCAAGAATCTCCAACCAGCTCTGACCTGGAACTTTATGGTAACAGCTACTCCTCATCCTTTTGAGTAGCCTAGAAACTTCAGACCAATTCCTATAGGAAGCATGAATGTCAGATAGCAGTGAATAATTTACACGCTTATTGGGCTCTACTACAAAAAGCTTTTCTGCAGCCCATTTTGCAAGTTGTACATTTCCATGGACTTTACATGCCCCAATAAATGCTCCCAAGGTGTCTGATCTTGGTTCAAAAGGCATCGATGTCAGGACATTCAAAGCTTCCTCCAAGAGACCAGCTCGACCAAGAAGATCAATTATACAGGTGTAGTGTTCTGAAGCTGGTGTGATCCGATACTCATCAGTCATTAGCTTAAAGTAATGTAACCCTTCACTGATCAAACCTCCATGGCTGCAACCAGAAAGAATCCCAAGAAAGACAATTCCATCTGGCCTCAAATTATTAGATACCATCTCTTCGAAAGTACTGATACTTTTTTCTGGAAGACCATGAAATGCAAGAGAATTTATAATCGATGTCCATGTAACAAGATCAGGTTCGACCACCAAACTAAAACACTTGAATGCATTAGTGATGTTACCACACTTGGAGTATGCATTTATTAAAGCATTTATAATCGATGGAAATGCTTGAAACCCTTTTTTAACCACATAAGCATGAACTTGTATAGTTTCAAAGATTGCAGATGTATGGCCACATGAACTAAGAGCGCTGGCAAGGGTTAGCTCATCTGGGCAAAAATTTTCTATAAACATTTTACCCAGAAGTCTCATAGCTGCCTTTCCATCTCCTTTTAGCCCATAACCCACAATCATGGTGTTCCATGATACAACATTTCTGTAAGCCATTTCATCAAAACATTTGCGAGCTTCATATATCATTCTATTCTTAGCATACATGTCTACAACGGCACTTGCTACTGGGATATCATTTTCAAAACACAATTTAACAACAAGAACATGGATCTGCATCCCCAATTCACGTGATCCAAAACTCCTACATAGACTAAGAAGACTAGAAAAAGTAAAACCATCACCCTGCAAGCCATCCAGCCGCATCAAATTAAAGACACAAAAGGCTTCTTCAGCAAAGCAATTCTGAGCATAGCAAGAAACCATCACATTCCAAAGCACCACGTCCCTGCACAAAGCTCCATCAAAAACACGCCTTGATTCTTCAATGAACCCACATTTTCCATAAAAATCAACAAGAGCAGCAATGACAAAGCGATCCAAATCAAAACCCATTTTCCCTACGAGACAATGCAACTGTTTACCAGGCTCAATATCATTTACCTCAATACAGGCACGGAGCAAACCATTAAGCGTAATATGATCCAAGCCCACCTCATTACACAACATCCTCCTAAAATAAGAAAAACTCAAGAAGAGACTACACTTTTGATTTCTGCCGCAATCTACAGCCCCGCAAATCACTGTGTTCCAACTCACCATATTTCTTACAATCATTTCGTCGAACAACTTTTCCGCGTCATGAAACTCCTTGCTTTTCACATAAGCATTCAATACCTGGTTTTGCAGAGATAGTGAGCGGTAAATCCCTAACTTTATCATGTGCGAGTGCACTTTTTTCACCACACCAGGAGACCCCATTTTCGCTGAGACTTTTAGTGCATGTAAGCAAAAACAATGAGTCGAGTGGGGGTCGCTGCGGCGGGCTGACTCGGCACATGGCGCGAACTTCCTGAGTGAACTTGCTGAGTGGGTTCCCGGAGAAGAATGGAGTTTTCGAACGTTCTGGCTGGTCCAAGGGCGAGAAGGAAAGTGAAGTTTGAAATGGACAGTGATGATCGAAGCGGATCGGCATTTGCTGCAGAGCATACGACGATAACGGAGAGAAACGTAGAAGGATTATGGATTTTCTCGTTGGTGGGTTGTTTTTTATTCGGACCCAAATAGTCCGTCCGCCCGACTCTCTGGTTCTCGTTTCCAAATCCGTCGTCGTATTAGTGATCTAACTTAATTTTTATTTTAATTTTTTAATAAATAGTAAATACTGCTCTGCTTATGCCATTTCCCATTGGGATACGAGTGGAGCGTATTAGGCTGAAGGAAGCTTAATACCAACAGCGAAGACGAACGACGCATACAAAAAGAAGCACGCCAGTAGACAAACCCTCGCTCCAGTCTCTTTTTCAACTCGCCCAAAAGAATTTTTTATGCTCTTCTCTCTCTCTGTCTCAAGGTCTGGCATGTTCTTAATATCTTCTCTAATGAATTTAAATTCGTTGTTTTCTGTTGAGCCGATTGTTATTTCGATTCACCTGCTTCTCGCTCTTTCCATTTTTGGTCTTAGAAATTAGGGTTTATCATCTTGTATAGGACTATTTGACTTTAGGTTGTTTTTGGGGCAATATGGATTTTGACTCATTTAGTTCTCCATTTTTTCCCTCGTGTGAGGTATGTCCGTTGTTGCGTTGCTTCGGGTTTGCTTCAACTAAGTTGAGTTGAGTGATTTGTTTTGTTTGATTTCCGGTTATGATCCCGAGTTTTTATATTTACTTTGAATCGAATTTTAGTTTATTGTTAACTTTCTTTAGTGGATACTGTTATAGGAGCTACTTGTTCAATAGCTATGTGATTTTTCACCAGTCGAGAGGTTGTCCAAAAATAGAAGAAAAGAAAGAGGAAAAGATGCTGATTAGAGAAATATAGGCATGGAAGTTTACTCGAGAAATTGGATTTCTCAACAAGTATGCTTAGAAAGCGTAAAAATATTGAGTTAATGATGTTAAAATATTGAGTTCATGGTGTTGATTTTTTAGATTAAAGAAATTTTCCTTTTCAAACTTGATTCTATTCATTGTTGTGGGCAATTTTGCATGCAGTTCTTTTTCTCCTATGATGTTCAGGGTTGGTTCTGAGTTCTTTAAGTTGTGACAGTGTGGTTGCTAATGTTTCTTGAAGCATGTGTTTATTGACTTTTAATATGTAGCATATAATTATCCTTAGACACACTGCATGAACGTGGAGAATGCAAGAATTGATGATTGTATTAGGTGGATAGCATTCATATAGTCGAAGGGAATGGGGGGTTGCTGTTGTTCTGCCAGAAAGCCACGTCTACATGGAACACCTGTATATTATTATGTCAGTATATCTTTTCTCTTGCTCTTTAAATAAAATTTAAAAAAAAACTTCTCTCTTATTACACATCTCTAGCACCACTAATGTCCTGTATCCCGTTTTTATGATTTTGAGCAGCTATTCTGTAATACATATACTGATAACATCTATATCGCATAAAGTATCGAAGTTTTTTCTTATGATGTCTGTCTTCCTTGAATTTGAAGGATTGTGAAAGGAAAATTTATTGCTGAATAGCAGTACAACACTTTGTAATTTATATTAAAGTAAGGGGCAGGTCACAGGGATTTTGTTTTGGAGAATGATTTTTCCTGGATGATATGGGCATGTAGTCTCTGAACTAATTCAAATATTGAGATGCAGATTTTTAAAGTTGCTATGATTGGTATAATAGGGAGTTCATCTTTTTCTTGAAAGAAGTATAATAGGGAGTTCATATGAAGGTCTATTCTATTGGTAACTAATATTCTGAAATCATGGAGTCCAAGAGAGAGTTCTGACATGTATGAAATCTTGAGCTCACTATCGTATTTCTTTTAACTTCATGCTTGATATTGCTAGATTTGAGAAGCATATAGATGTTACTATGACATGATGACAGATCATAGATTGTCTGAGTTCAACTGGACAGACTATGTTGCTAGAAAGATGTAGGAAACCTGCTAAGAATATTACTTTTGAGATAGACGTATTGGTAAATCTTGTAATATGCTTTCTTTTGGTACCAAACTGAATGGCCCAGAAGATTTGGATCACATCTAGATGGTAAATCTTGTTCTTTTTTTTCCTAAATGACAATGATTATTTCTGAAGTATCCTTTTTAAGTCATTGAAATTCCCTTGTGCAGTGTCCTCCAGTTTTGGCTGAGCATGAGTCATTAACATCACAAAGTGGCGCAGCATCAGCATTTGCTGCAGGGCTTCTGGTTGATTTGGAACTGGAAGCATCAATACCAGACACTTTTCGTGCCCCTCCTGCACCTTTGCCATATGATGCGCTCTTGGGGCACCCGCGATCAACTGATTCTGAGTCTGTCATAGAAAGAGTTAGTGGAAGTAGTTTCGAGACATTAGCTACATGTGAAGATCTTGAGGAGTCTGACTGCAAGACTCAAGCCAGTTCTTTGCTTCTTTCACCGAGTAAATCAGAAGCTTCAAAAGCAAATGAACCAAATTTATCAGTAGCAGAAGAGGAGGATGCATGTCCCATTTGCCTTGAAGGTTTTGTGTGATTCCTATAGCTTTTTCTGATTTAATGAATTGTGAAATGAGACATGAAGAGAAAGAACTCTTCTGACAGCCTATAACAGATGTAAAATTTTGTGCTCTTCTACATGCAGAGTATGACTCAGATAATCCAAAACTTCTAACAAAGTGTGATCATCATTTTCACCTCTCTTGCATTCTGGAATGGATGGAAAGAAGTGACAGCTGCCCCATATGTGATCAGGTTTGCCTCTTGAAAGTAATCTGAAGAAAATACTTCAAAAATTACATGAGCTATGTTGCTATCAATTGGAGTCTGATAATTTTCCTTTTAGGGAGCTTTAGCATACTCAACTTCCAGTCTACTGCATCACTTTACTAAAGAAGTTTACCTCTTCACAAAACGCTTAATAATTACTAATGTTATTTGTCAAATGGTAACTTTCTGAACGGCTGAGAGAGTGGAGCTAACCTTGAGCAATCATATTTTGCTAGCTAGGTTCTTAGTCATATGGTTTCACATTATCACTCTTCCTCACCCCCTATACTCAGTCAAAAATAGTAAGACCATCCTCACTGGTTGGAATAGTAATGTATGAATGAAAAGGGGAAGTTATAAAACTATGATTGATGTTTATGAAGTTTATGAAAGCCTGCCTGTTTAACATACAACAATATGAGTTATCTTATTCATAATTAAAATTAGCATGACTCTTAAAATTTTTTGTTAGTTTAAGTATTGGTTGACCATGATCAATACTGTCATATCGTTTGTCAAGTACGTAATTATTCATTTTTTTTTTAATTCTTTCTGTTTTTTCTTTTCAATTTTGGTTTTTTTTAACCGGTAAAACTAAAATGAGTTTTTCCTGTTTAATAACTGTATTTTCTTATTTTCTGTGGATGGCAGCTATCATACGAACTAATGGCTAATTTTATCCATGACTAAAACAAAATCATGACTAAAATAATGTTTCTTTTTTTTTTTTAGTTTTAACTGTTACTTGACCATGATTGCTATTATCATATCATTAATTAAGTACATAAAAAGACCTATTATCTACATTTATTTTTGCTTCATCCCTTCAATAATCCTCTCTGTTTATTTTTTTTTAAGTTCAGGTTTCTCCTTTGCTTTTTACAAGAAAAATTAAAGTGTGTTTTTCCTGTTTTACAGCTACTTTTTTTTTTTTTTTTTTTTTTCTGTTTTGGTTGAAATCAGCTAAAACATAATCTTATGTCCTGTGTTATTCATAAGTAAAATTGACATTATGAATTCACGGCTCTTAAAATCTTTTTTGTTTGTTTGACTATTTGTTGACCATGATTAATATTTTTTTTTCTGATAAATTCTATAATATATACATGTATATAGATGTAGATATTTAATTTTATTTGCAAAGAATTGAAAAAACATTTAAAGCTAATTTAGTTCACACCAATTAATGTGAGAGTAAAATCTCATAGGTATAGAAATAAATAAATATTTGTTAAATTTTAAACAGTGGAACCTGGTCAAGGCATGTTTTGATTTATTTCCAAAATGCAGCGCTTTTGTAAATTTGCATAAACATTTTCTCAGTTTGCCAAGAAACAGCTGTTATATTTGTACACTGATGAAATTTTCTACCTCTTTAATGTCACAGGAAATGGTATTTGATCACACATTTAATTAGTTGCTCAATATTTTTTTTCCAAGTTAGAAGTTTCTTTGCTGTCTTGAATGGAAGCCGGGCAATCTGGTAGATTGCAGATGTCCATCTCTGCTTTGTTTTATAGCTGGTCAGCAGATGATGCCACGAATTCAAGTCTCTTTGATTGTAGTTATTCTCAAAGTTCATTAAAAAGTGATTGTTTTACTTGGTTAGTCGCCCATGATATCAAAATTGAAGGAACAAAGTTTTGACACAGTGATGATAGGTAACTGTTTCACCATGCTCTTCTTCATTGGTTAGATTTTTGAACTGCAGTTCTCAGATGGCTCTATAAAGTATTAAGGAAGAAGCATGTAAAGCTGCATAGTTGTTTGATGAAGTTGAATGATCAAGGTTCACTTTCCTAGATACAAGAAATGGTCAGTTTTACCTTCCACTTTGTGTTGATATGCTGTGTCACTTGTACAGTTGCTGTTTTTTTTTTTTTTTTTTCTGGTTTTCTTTTTCTTACTTTCTGCTTTAAAAGGTGAAGGAAATGAAATTCCTTGTTTGCTGCACATATTGACTCTTTTATGCTGTTGTTGTATATCACAAGTATTTCATATTTTGTATGGGCTTGGATGGGGGATAATTGTACTGGGACAATGGAACAGTGGATGAAAAAGTCATGAATTTGCTTTAAGTGAACTCTGATTATACTTTTCAGGTCACACTCTCCATTTTGTATTCAGTATGTGTGAGCTAACTTGATTACTTCCAGCTAAGGTTACCCAGTTGACTCGGTGACTTCTCCAAGTTTGCAGGGGAGAACCTAACACGGTTCAAATCCTTACAATTGCAAATGCCATTTACATGCATAATAGATGCCGTTTTATGTCTTGTCCATTCTTCTTCCTGCTTCTTATGCAGCTAAGGCAGTCAGTGAGAGAAGCTGGAATATTTAGATCTTCCGAATACTCAGGTAATTGGTAGTCTTATTTTTTTTGTTTCTTTAAATGAAAATAATAAACCTTTTTGTTAGACATGCACAGCATGCTAGGAATTGAATTCGACTCGTACCTTTATTATATTAGGGCACCTATGTAATCGGAGTACACGAATAAATAGGCAAATTATGTTATGCTTTAGAGACATTAAACGTTTTGGTGGTAATTTTTTAACTTTTTATAGTAATTTAGAATATCAATATAGTAATCACATGGGGTTATCTATCTAGTCACTATATTCATCCAGTTATTATTACCAAAAAGAAAATACTAATGGTACTTTTGAGACAATACAATAGCAGTCGAGGAAATAGAGTTGAAACTTGGGTCAAAAGACGAGTTAAGGTTTAGGTACGGTACCATAAAGCTCAAACCCGACAGGTTAATGGTAATGGTTAGTAGGTTGAAATCAATAGCTTAAATTTGAAGTTAGGGCAACACTCTGATCTGGATTTTTGATTTGAAGGAATGTTTTTTTTTTTTTTTTTTTTTTTTTTTTAATGTTTGAAAAATAGTGGAACGGTGTTTCCACTTTTGGTTGTTGCCTGTTCCGTGTGTTGAACTTTTTGTTTCTTGAGTTGACCCCTCCTCTTATGCTGAGATATTAGAAAAGAAAAATCTGGAGTTGGTGAAATGTCAGATCAACACCAGACTTTTAATGACTATCATTATTAGCAGATGGATCGAGTTAGGTGATGACTCACTTGAAGGAATGGCCTGGTCTAACACTGTATTAATACCAAGTTATCTATTTTAAAAGTAAAGTAAAACTTCACTATTTTGAATTAGATTTAAAAGTACTTTTTTTATAAATTAGATTTTGCATAAATATTAAAGTCTTCAGCTCTCGTCCTATACACCTAATATTAATAGAATTAGGACAGCCATTAATTTTGATCTTAATTAGATCATTGAGTATCGGATAGAAGACAAATTTAAGGTACAGTAAAGTTCGTTGGAACTGCATATTTAATAAATCATTAAATTAAGGAAACTAGAGTGTTTGGAGATTTTAGATTTGAATTTCCAAAATATTTGTCACTTTTGAGCCGTGGACATTTAGATGTGTGAACGGCAGGGGCAGCAAAGCAAATAAACACTCCCAACGTGACTGCATTGCAAATTTTTGGATCCACACGCACGCACGTGTTAAAAGTTTTTGAGGGGTAACAACTTAAACTTCATAAAAGGGTTTTGACTCGGTGATCAATCTAAAGTTTTCATTTATGATTAAGATTTAAGCCTTCAAATTTTGACACGCACAAAATTTATTAAATATTTTATTGTGCTTATTGGAAAAAAATAAATAAATTCAGAAGAGTCCATAACTATGAAAAATAATAATAATAATAATAATAATAATAAAATTATGAGACAACTTTGGAAGCTATTAGAGCATATCCTTAAAAATAATTTTAGATGGTTCCTTTAACCCTTCTGAAACTATGGATGGAAAAATTAGATTCATCAACGACATAATATTTTCTTATCATTGTTGTTAGTTAATGAATAAAGAAATGTTTCTTCAAAGATTCGTTATATTAGCCCAGGAGATGGGGTCATGTACTATATGTCCCTCCTTTTTAATATATATATATATATATATGAGCATGAGAAATTTTAAAAATAGAAACAATTGTCTAAATAGGTTACTTTTTTAACATAAAAATATATTAAATATTTAAATTGCAATAAACTTAAACGTAAAATTATAATTCTGTATTTTTTGACAAGACCTCTCTCTATATCTGCGGTTCTAGAAAATAAATTTAAGTAAAATGACCGAAAAGCACATGCGGCTGCGCGCGTGCGTATACATCCCAGGGGATCTCTTTATTTTACAACTTTTTAGCTTTTTGATAATTTTTGGTAAAAAATTTAATAATGGTCTGTTGAAAAGTAGAGAGGAGAGTGGGGAGTGGACCGGAGCACTTTTGTCGCCCACCTCACATCCATATTTTTCACATTCCTCCTATTACTCGTATACTTATTTTTGCACTTCCCATAATTTTCAATCTATTATTTTAAATATTAAATATTTAATGAGAATAAAAATAATAAAATGACCTCAAAAAACGACAAACATATATTAGTCTTCTCCTTGCCAAGGCTAATTCCGTAATTTTATGTTAATAATTCCGAGAACCTTGTTGTCTCCTTTTTCGTTTGTATCCCGTGAATGGCAGCTTTTTGCTGATATCCTACAGAAATCCACTCTCTCTCTCTAACTTTCTCTTCATCTCTCTCTAAATTGAACAGAAGGAGAGGCAGCTCTCATCCCGCGGAACAGGGATTCTCTGTCTCTTTGGAAGAGACTGCCTTTCTTCCCAACCAAACAGGAATAAGGCTCCACAACTAACTCATCAAAATGCTACCATCACCATCCATCTCCTCCATGTCGCTTCCTCTCCTGCTTCTTCTTCTCCTACTACTCTTTTCTGGGATCCCCAATGCTGCTTCCTTCACCGACACTCAAGCTACTCAACCCACCTCCTCAACTACCCAAATTAGCAATATCTCCGGCCAGGCAAAACCAAGGCGTGCTAACACCAGTAGTCGGAGATTTGTCATCGGTAGAAGCAGAGGCTTACTCGAACTAGATGCAGAAGTCGATACAGTGCTTAGCAGGAGCACGAAACTGAAGAGAAGCAATGTTATAATCAGCGGAGATAGAAAAATCGCAAGCAGGAATGGTACTTTCCAGCTGGGCTTCTTCAGTCTTAATGGCGAAGCAAGTTGGTATTTGGGAATCTGGTATGCTTCAATTCCAACTCCCACATACGTTTGGGTCGCGAATCGCGAAAAACCCGTTAAGAATCTCACCTTATCTTCTCTGGAAATCAACGAAGAAGGCCAATTAGTCGTGAGAGAATCCCCGAGCACAGTCGTCTGGCAAACCACGAACACGGATAAAGCGACAGCCATACGTCTTTTAGAGACCGGAAACCTCGTTCTGCTACGGTCCCGGGAGGGTCCACCAGTCTGGCAGAGCTTTGACTACCCGTCTGATACATGGCTTCCCGGCATGAATCTTACCGGCAAGAAATTCTTGACTTCTTGGCGAAGTTTGTTTGACCCCGCACCGGGATATTACTCTCTTCGGCTGAACCCGGAAGGTTACAACGAGTTCCAGCTCGTTTACAACGCCACCATTGCGTTCTGGTCCACCGGCAACTGGACCGGCAGTGCTTTTTCCGGTGTTCCCCAGATGACAATCCCTTATATATACCGGTTCCATTTTACAGATCCGTTCTCCCCGACGGCCTCGTTTTGGTACACAGAGATTTCTCTTGAGAAGGGGCTAAAACCACCCTTGACAAGGTTTCAAGTAGACGCCAACGGTCAGCTCCAGCAGTACACTTGGTCAACCCAGATCGAGAACTGGAACATGTTCTGGTCCCAGCCGGAGGACCGTTGCAGTGTTTACGGTTTATGCGGCGATTCGGGGTTTTGTGTTGGTTCATTGTTGAAGCCTTGTGTGTGTCTCAATGGTTTTACTCCCAGGGACGGGTACGCTTGGGATTCTGGGGATTACTCCGGCGGTTGTCGCCGGGAGAGCGGTGAGTTCTGCGATGAGAGAGATGGGTTTCTAAACGTCGGTGCCGTGAAGTTCGACGGAGCAACTATTGTGTCGTTTCCGGGGAGTAGGAGTTCATGTGAGAAATCTTGTTTGAGAAATTGTTCTTGTGTTGGATTGTACCATGATGGCAAAACCAATTTGTGCAAGAACTTACACGGGTTGCTATTGAATTTGAGGAATTCGAGCTCCGATACAACCTACGACGATGTTCTTTATATTAGGGTTCCGAATGAAGGAATTAGTAAAAGTAATGTGTCAAAATCCATGGTTTTAGTTGGTAGCATTGTTGGGTCAATTGCATTTTTGGGGATAACAGTATTAACCTTGTTGATTTTGAGGAAGACGAGAAAGAGAAGGAAAGGTATGGAAGAAGACGTTTTCCCTGTGTTGAATCTGAAGGTCTTTTCTTACAAAGGGCTTCAAGTAGCAACAAAGGGTTTCTCTGAGAAACTAGGGCATGGCGGATTTGGAGCAGTTTTCCGAGGAGAGCTACCGGATTCTACTCCAGTTGCTGTGAAACGCCTGGAAAGGCCAGGTAGCGGCGAGAAGGAATTCAGGGCAGAGGTCTGCACCATTGGTAATATTCAACATGTTAATCTTGTCAGACTTAGAGGCTTTTGCTCTGAGAATTCTCATAGGCTGCTAGTTTATGATTACATGCCAAATGGTCCTTTGAGCTCGTATTTGTGCCATGAAGGTCCTAATTTGAGCTGGGAGGTTAGATTCCGGGTAGCAACTGGGACCGCGAGAGGCATTGCATATTTACACGAAGAATGTAGAGATTGCATCATTCATTGTGATATTAAACCCGAAAACATACTTTTGGACAGTGATTATGTAGCTAAGGTATCAGATTTTGGATTGGCAAAGCTCGTTGGTAGGGACTTTAGTCGGGTTTTGGCCACGATGAGAGGCACCTGGGGCTATGTTGCACCAGAATGGATCTCTGGTTTGGCAATTACCACGAAAGCCGATGTTTATAGCTATGGAATGACATTGTTGGAGTTAATTGGCGGACGAAGAAACGTGGAGGCACCACCTCCATCTGCAGGCAATGTGAATTTTGGGGGATATGGTGAGAAATGGTTTTTCCCTCCATGGGCAGCTCGACAAGTGATCGAGGGAAATATAGCTGCCATTATTGACACCAGACTCAATGGTGCATACAAGAGTGAGGAGGCAATGCGGCTGGCAATGGTGGCAATCTGGTGCATACAAGATGATGAAGAAATAAGGCCTGCAATGGGAATGGTAGTGAAGATGTTGGAAGGAGTGGTGGAAATAGCCATTCCTCCACCACCTAAACTGATTCAAGCACTGGTTTCTGGAGATTCATATCAGGGAATTAAGATGGATTCAAACATGATGGCCTCGACTGGTGGTGGCTGTTCCGATTTAAACATGGGTTTATCAAGTGCGGGTTCGCGATCATCTGGTGGGAAAACCTCTTTTCTTGATGATTGAGACACATTAGATTAACAATGTCCAGGACAACTGACCAAAAGCTAATTTGGTGGAGATCTTTGTTGTTTGCTAACCTTTGATTTTAGGGTTTGTTCTTCTTGTTTAAGTACACAAAAGAGAATATCTTGTGTAGATTTCCATGGCAGATGTATAGAGAACTGTTACTTTGTTCTTTACTGCTTGCAGCTTTTTTAGACTTTTCATTTATTTACATGGTAGGTCTAGAAAGTTCTATCATTTTTTAAAAAAAAAATCTGCTTCCACTAACATTACACAGAAAGTCAACAAATTTACCAAATTTGAGTGGGAATTCAACTTAGAAATATATATATATATATATATAGAATCTTAGTATGGATATGGGTATCTGGAGGAATGAGTGAGTAGGGTCCCCATTAAAAGCAGCTAATTTTTGACTTTATAGGCTTACAGATTACGAAATATAACTATAATCGGTAAGGATTTAATCTCCTTTAGTAGTCATTTTTTATTAAACAATTATACGAAGTTTATAAATTAATTAAATTATGCTAATTAAACAGTACATTATTTAGTTATAATTTTTTGAATTAAAAAAAATTAATTAATTAATTAAACGGCAAGAGAAAAAGTGAATTTAAAACTGTCGAGTACTGGGCTCAGACCCATGTAAGCCCACGCCCACTTAGTTTTGTTTTTTTATTTTTACTTCTGGCTGCATTCAGTAATAATCGGTTGTAAAAACTGTCCAAAAAAATAAAATTAAAAAAAAAAAAACCAACTTTAATTACACATATTTTTTACCCATCAAAAGTAAAAAACCACCCAAAGCCCATTTCCCCTACTAAATTAAGATTCAAACCCACATTTTTAATCCAACATGGTCGCGCTAATCATCCCATCAATGACAATTAATCAAAGTTAGACATACTAATCATCCAATTACTTAATTAAATTAACAAAAGTGAACGTTATAGTCCACTACTTAAATTAAATTAAATTAAATTTAGGACAAAAATCAATCCCAAGTGAACAAATATTTTGGCATGTTGTATACTCTGCTCTTTATGTCATTGACTCAACCCGTTGACCAAATCAGGAATTTCCATCAGAAGACTGAGTCAACTCTTTCTCTGTCTCTCCCTCGTAACTGATTTCTTCAATTCCATGCCCACCCTACATTCTACCTTCCAAATATTTACAAACCCATATAAAGAAAACACCAAAAACCCAACAAAATTATTATTTTCTACATCAATAATCTTAAAAACAAGAAATTAAAACCAAAAAAAAAAAAAAAGATAAGGTTCGATTAAAAAAGCGAGTAAAAATTGCGAACCATATAGAAAATGTTGAAATTGAAGCAGGCGACAAGAGGCCTACTTCATCCCCTCTTGCCTCATCATCTACCCGCAGCACCAACCCCTTGTTCGACGACGATGACGGCCGCCGCAGCTTCTCCGTCTTCGAAACTGAGGTTTTACCCGCTGATCTCCATCATGCGCCGACGACGTTAATTGGGTTAGAAGAAGGAGAGGATTATCCTGCCGTACATAGTTTCCACGACGCAAAATGTATATGTTACATGGAGTCCGTCAAGCTCTGGGCCATTGCAGGACCTATTGCCTTCAATATTCTCTGTAACTATGGCGTCAATTCTTTCACCAATATATTCGTTGGCCATATCGGAAATATCGAGCTTTCCGCCGTCGCCATTGCTCTCTCCGTCGTCGCAAACTTCTCTTTCGGCTTCCTGGTTAGTTTCTCTCAATACCCTTTTCCTTCTTTACATCCGACCAGACTTGGACTGCTGTAAAATCTAACATGAAAATGGCAGCTGGGTATGGCGAGCGCATTAGAAACACTTTGCGGACAGGCGTTTGGAGCTGGCCAAGTAGAATTACTTGGGGTTTACACGCAACGTTCGTGGATAATTCTCTTCGGAGCCTGCTTCTTTCTACTACCCTTATACATATACGCTACGCCGATTCTTAAACTGCTAGGACAAGAGCCGGAAATTGCAGAGATCGCCGGAAAATTCACTATGCAAGTGATCCCACAAATGTTTTCTCTGGCAATCAACTTCCCCGTTCAGAAATTCCTGCAAGCTCAAAGCAAGGTTGGAGCTTTAGCCTGGATTGCATTCGGAGCTATGATTATACATATCGGAATCCTTTACCTGTTCATCAGTGTTTTTAAATGGGGTCTCGCCGGAGCTGCGGCTGCCTACGACGTGTCGGCTTGGGGGATATCTTTGGCTCAGGTTGTGTATGTTTTGGGTTGGTGTAAAGATGGGTGGAAAGGATTATCTTGGTTAGCTTTTAAAGATATTTGGGGATTTCTGAAACTTTCTGTAGCTTCAGCTGTGATGCTTTGTTTGGAGATTTGGTATTTCATGACCATAATTGTTCTTACTGGTCACCTTGAAGATCCTATTATAGCAGTTGGTTCACTTTCTATCTGGTAATTAATCTATTTTTTTTTTTTTTAATCCATTTCAAGTGTTAAGCTCTATGGATTTCATTGGGTAAAATTTCTGAGTTTCACTTTCTCTTTTGATTTTTACCATCACAGCATGAACATAAATGGCTGGGAAGGCATGTTGTTTATTGGAATCAATGCAGCTATAAGGTAAAGAAAGATTAATATATAACTCCAACGTGACTATATTAAATCCTGTTCCTAGAACAAGTAAGATATTATCATTATTTATATTTAAACTAACAACAGAAGAGACGATAACCAAGATTCGAATACTAACTCTTTGAATAGTTAACTAATTTTAGGATTATGGAGTACGGAATATAACAAGTAATGATGTTGGTATTGTTGGTTCTTTTCAGTGTTAGAGTGTCGAATGAACTTGGCTCCGGACACCCGAGAGCTGCAAAATACTCTGTCATTGTTACTGTTATCGAATCTGCCTGCATCGGAATCATGTCGGCCACGGTTATCCTGGCAACAAGGAACCAATTTGCCATCATCTTTACCAGTAGTAAAGAGATGCAAAAAGCAGTGGCTAATTTAGCATACCTTCTTGGGATAACTATGATGCTAAACAGCATCCAGCCGGTTATATCAGGTGATAGATAGTATATGAACGCATACATAGTTACATAAATACACACACACATATATATATATATATATATTACCCAGATGATTGTATTCATGAAAATGCCTTGCAGGTGTTGCTGTGGGAGGAGGATGGCAAGCCTTGGTTGCTTATATCAACCTGTTTTGTTATTATGTTATTGGGTTGCCTCTTGGTTTTCTTCTTGGTTATAAAACAAATATGGGAGTACAGGCAAGTTTATGAGTACATATTTAATCAATAATTATATTAACTACACACATATTTTCCAATTCTGCAATAATAAATATAAAACTAACTTATAATTATAATGTCATTTAAATTTGTGATCATCTTACATTATATGTCTACTCTTCTTCAATAAAATTGGAATGCAGGGAATTTGGGTCGGCATGATTGTTGGGACTTCTTTGCAGACACTGATCCTGTTATATATCACACATCAAACTAATTGGAATAAAGAGGTAAAATTATTTTAGATTACAATTATACTTGTATTTTACAATAAATTACTTTTTAAATTTTGATTTTCAGGTTGAACAAACATCGGAACGAATGAGAAAATGGGGTGCAAGTCAAGAATATGATATTGTTTCGACTTAGAAATTAATTACTTATCTACTGATCTACTTTTAAATATATACATATAAATGTACATAGTATAATTTTTATATATTTACAAATACTTTTGAGCCATCGGGTTATTCAGTACTTAAAAATTTTGAGTTATTATTTTGTATTTAAAATTTATATTTTATACTCTAATTTAATTGATTTAGTCCAATTTTTTATTTAATTATTAAATAATTTAGTAGTTTTATTTTTTGTATTAAATCTCAACATGGTATTTATTTTATTTCATCTTTTATTTTCTTCTATCAGCTGGATTTGAATTTCTAAACACTACTACAGAATTTAAAAATTATATCAATTAATAAATAAATTGAGCCTTGACGCTGATTATTTGTCTAAATTATTTTACTTCTCATTTAATTTTTTTTAATAAATAAATTTAGTTTCTACTTTTTTGAGATTAAAAATAATAATAATAATAATAGGAAGTCACTATCAAGACTCTGACGGCCTCAACTGTCATTAACGGTTTCCTCGTTTGATTTATATTTCTGATATTACATTCCCGCCACCGCCTTCTACTTTCATAATTTGCACACTGACCCCATTCTTATGTCAATAATTACATTTCGACCCTCCGTTTAAACTTTAATTCAGTAATTTCCGATTTTATTATCTACTCTTTTTTTTTTTTTTTTTAAAGAGTGAAGGGCCCACTTTATCTTATATATGGGATGAGTGGGGAAATGTTTCTACTATAGTTTTTATACACGTAATGCTAATTTTTAAATTATAGAAAATAATAATAATAATTTATAACGAAAAGATATGTTGATTAAATATACATTGTAGATTGATTTAGAAATTTATGTTGGCTTAAGATTTAAAGGGCTTAGTGGGCTTTTATTTTTTATCATAAAGATTTTTCGGACAATTTCATATCTATTTTGATTTTGGTTGAGAAAAGTAAACTTTCAGTTACGCATTATTGTTATTTAAACTTTAAATATTTATTAATTTATATAAAAAATTTCAAAAAATTAGATTGGAATCTAAATCACCATATTCACATTAAATAAAAAAAAAAATAGATCTGAAACGAAAACGTACATAAATTTATAGTGAAAGAAATATGTACATTCTACGAATGATCTTCTAAATTAATACGTGATCTTTTGGAATTTTCACATTTTATGATAAGATGATAGAAATAAAAAAAACTATACATGTAATTTAGATATCATAACCATTTATTTATATCATTGAATTTTTATTATTTTTAATTTAACGCTCATCATAAAATAAAAAAGAACGTTTTTTTTTTTTCTAGGCACATAAAAGATACTTATATTTTATTTGACGTATTAAAATTTAATATCTTTTTAACCTTAACATATCATTTTTAAACAAATCTAATCAAATTAATAATTTTTTATGTTCAATAAAACTCATGTTAAGATCACAAGGTTGATTAAAATTTAATAATTTATTAATTCGATTAATTAGTCAAAATTATTTTTAAATATTTTATTAAGTATCTAAAATATAGTCTAATAATTTTAATTTTTTTATTAGAAGTAGAAGAAAAATATACTTGTAGAACAAATGAAAAATGTTAAAGAGCAAATTACAATTAAAAAAAATTTAGAAACCAACGGTAACAAGTATTAAATTTTGAGAAATAATTTTATAATTTGTCTTTATATTCTTATTTCATTACTTGCTATTTACCCACATAATTAACCATTTTTTTAATGGCCAACTCTTTTTCACCGATTCGAATTCAATTGCACAGAAATGAGTTTGAACATATTAGATTAAGGGATTAGAACACAAAATGTCAATCTCTATGTGAATGTAGATTGATAATTTTTGAAATATGTTAAATTTTTTTTCTAATTCTTCTTTTTTTATTCTTTCAAGAGATCACCACCTACTACTTCCAAAGAAATAATAATTCT